AATTTTTTTTATTTTCAGTACTAAAAAATAAACATAAAAAAAAATTATTATACTTTGCAGCGCTAGGATAACTTAATGAAAAAAAAAAATTAATCTGAACAAAAGATATTCCAAAAGTCAGTTATATCTGTTACATTATTTGTTATATAATATATATACATCATTAATATACCAGACACATATATAATTGTATATATATGTATGTATAATGTATATGTATGTACGACAACACGCGCCGRCGTCGTGTTAACGAGTCACCCATATAACGTATATACTATTTTGTGAATATATATAATTATAATAATAATATTATATATATCGTGTTCGTGTAGTATATATATGTGCCTATTATAGGCAGTAATATGTGGAGAATCGTCACGGCACGAAATCCCTTTGATTTCGTCGCCGTCGGTGCGGTTAAAATCTCGCGGCGACGTTTGTTGAGCGTAAGCTTTTTAATGATAATAGCGCAGTGCCGCGGGCGCCACAATAACCGCATGTCACGTTGATGTGCGTGTGACAAAACAATAATAATAATACGATTATATATTATAATACTCCGTACACTATAATACATAATAATTATATGTGTGCCGTGTTATACGCGTATATACGACATTACGACAATAAATATGGTTTTCTACTTTTCGCTACTGTTTATTTTTATTTTTTTTTTTTGTTCACCCGCAAGAGACTTTTCCTCATTTGCGGCGAGCCCGACGTGTGCGCCTATCGGCCGGAGGCTAAGAGACGGGTGACAAAATAAAAACCCTACACGAGTTCGCCAGCACGTTTGGTTGGTATAATATATATTGTCATTATACTATTGGGTGGATGCGCGCGCGCTCATTAAAATAAAATCGTAAATAACAATAATATATACATATTTATATATTATAACAATAAACGACTGTATACATATACACCATTACACATCATCACCGCACGYTCACACTTTGTAATGACACGTCGCGGTTTTTTAGTTTTTACATATTGTGTATATATTATTATAACGCGGGTCGTTTTATGTTTATTTAAATGAGCGTGAAAAACATTTTCCTCGGTTAACTTGGTCCACTCTCACCTTCTCTCTCTCCCTCATTATCTTTCTGTCTCTGTGTTTTGATGTTTTTTTTTTTTTTTAACGAGGGTCGACCACCGCGTGAACACGTGGCCACCGCTCGCCTAAGCTATTTATACATCGTATAGCACGAATCCTTTATATTTCGCACAACGAAYATTGTTACGACAATGTTTTAATAACGCATAATACACGTTCACCGTATATGGCAATAAAGCCGTATAGATACCGTGATGAGAAACGCAGATGTCGGGTCAGACTGCAAACAGACTCGGCGTCATAATAAAATATATTTACTATGTACCTATCTTCCAATTCAACATTTTCCCTTCTCACAATTCCACCTAAAACTATATATATATATATAATAGATATAAAGTGCTTCAACACAAGCGTGTAGCTCGTATTATATTCTATTACCCAGTTCGTAACATTTTGTAACAGCAAAATTGGAATTTGTAACAAGATACGTTGTATGTATAATATAGTCTTTAAAAAAGTTTTAATTTCCAATTTTAAACATTAAACAGGGCGATACATTCTTCGACTTTACAATAATGTGTGTAAGTGGTTTTTGTTTTGTRTCTGCGGTTTGTGGAYGCCTTTTAGAGCAGTTAAATTTAAAATGCTTTGATTTTCAATTTTAAAAGGGGTTTTCCGAAGCAAAATGGATCTAATTGGTACTTGGAGGGGCCAAAAGAAAATAATTCCCAACACAATATGTAATAAATTATATTTTCGTTAAAAATGTGTAAAAAATTACCTTAGGCTTGAAAAAAAAATGCGAGATTTCTCATGAGTTTTTTACTGGAAAAGTGGAATTTATAGCGTAAAGCTTATTTTATATACATTTTTTTGTCATCAATTTAAGTTCAGTTGTTGAAATCAAAAGTAATAGTACCTAATTATAATTTATCGACATACGTTTGTCTTTGTCACAATTTAAAAATATTATTCATATGAGATCTTGAACATTTTTCTCTCTACGTATATTATATTATTTATTACTTTACACAATGTCATAATGACATTTTCAAAATATTTAGATGAATTTTAAGTTGTATACCTATATATACCACGAAATATTCACAAATTTAATTTTAAGATATGCAATGTTGTGAGCTAGTAATATTATACGAAATAGTTTATATTACGTTATTTGTTTTCAAAAAAAAATAATTAAACTTGATTTAGAATTACCTGTAGACTAGGTAGATAATAAGTTACAAGTTATTATAAGCATTATAAATATATAATAAATTATCCTTAGAAATACAGACTGAAGGTTAGTCTCCGCTTAGAAGTAAGAATTGTTTTTGTACGTATAGTTATACATAACTATCATTGAAATTAAAATTCAACACATCCATTAAAGCAATTTACTGAATGGCCAGGCACATTGACATAAACGGTAAGCAGGAATACTATACATATAAGTACAGCCGAGAAATTTTCTCGGATTTTCGGCACTTGTGTTGTTAAAATATGTTATTATTATCATAGTAGTATTATAAGTTTGGCATAATATATTTAATAAATTTCCTAGGATTGCTCACCGTCCTTATTCATGCCCATGTTAAGGCATTTCTTCAGCCTGCACGCCTGACATTGGTTACGATGCGCCTTGTCCACTACGCAACTCCCGGTTCCCGCTTGACATCTAGAATTTACAAGACAAATTTCAACAACGTAAATATAAAATATAAATTGTTATACGACATGTAATATGTTTATAGGAATATGTATAAATATGTATTTAACTAGCAATCCAGCTAGATGTTGTCATTTCCAAAATTTGTTTTTTTTTTTATATACAAAAGATAATGTAGGTATAGGTATTCCATATTTATACTAACCATAAAAGTATTGAAAGTATCTTATGTAATTATATATATGTGAAGCGGCGAARCGCATATAATGATAAATCACAAATAACAATTACGCATAGATATAGAAATTATAATATCATAAGAAACATTGTGTATTTTTCTTTTAATTCTGCAGTTTTATAGTGCGCTTGTGTACCGCTTTTGTATCAACAAATATATTTTTATCAAGACATTTCTCATTCGGTCGACAATGGCGGAGAAACTCCCATTGCACGCCCCCTATTTCCTGCACGCAAGCGCAAAAATGATTTTTGATGTCTTATAGAATGCACCTGCTGCACACATTCCGAAAGCCTGATTCCAGTCACGAGAGTGACATCCATGGTATATTTTATTACTTTAAAAGCCGGCGTACATATTGTGTTTYATTGAATTGTAATAATAATCCATTACGAGCTTCTAGATAAGTAGGTATTAATATAAATTATAAGTACCTAGTACAAATCGACTATAAGTTCTGTTTGAACATATAATAATAAAAAAAAATATGAGATTTCAACGAATTTTATTATTATTATAAATCAACATAATTTATTATGTAAGACACGTATATTTTAAAATATTTTTTTATATTATTTTGCAGTATATATAGGTACTTATATACTCATTGATATATAGGATATATATACGACAGCATTTATGACATTTTTTTCTTTTAGGCGAAACCTGCATGTTATACTCGAATATATTTTAAAATAAACGACTGGAAGTTATATAAAAAAAAAGTCAGTTTTAGATGGACGAACAACTTTGASCCTTCATTTGTTCGATATGCGTGTATATACCGTCTACATCGGAGTTAACGTGGGTGATGGTGAAGTGGCGTTCACGGGTCCCAGGGGTGCGATCGGGTCCGAGATTTAATTCCGTCGATCGAATTGAGTGTGTGTGCGCGAGGATAAGTACGCACCATGCTCAGTCGACACAGGACGAGCGCAACAGCATGGGGTGTGGGAAGGGTACTCTTTAAACAAATCAATTTATCGTTAATGCGTCTTTCTGCAGCTTCTACTATTGTGGCTATGGGATTTGCACTAATAACGCGTATGGGGTGGCGATGTGTTTCCACAAAGGGTGGAAATTATTATTACTATATACAATATACACATATATACATGCACATAATGTATCCGGTGTGTGGAAGGTAATCGTTCGGCCGTCACAAGTGTAAACCTGTTAGCGGGTCACGGTCAAAGAGCGGCAGAAGCCCTCAACAGAATAAGTTTACCATTTTAATTCCCTTGCAGACCCTTTCATAATTTGATTTTCATCTGCCACAGAAAATCCATCGGTGCCCATCGCTATAGCGTCTATAATAATGAGATCCTACTGCAGTGCAGTTTGATTTATATACATATATATTATATAGTGTCCTATATTTCCTATATACAATATAATATACACACAATCAGAATTTGACATTGGTGTTGTTGAAACAATATAAAATAAYAGGACATTATCGATTAAGTTAGAAAACAATCAGTAATGATATATAATAGATATATAGATATCTATTGGCTATATAGTGGTAGTCAATAACTCATAATTCTGTAAATTTAAACTATCAATTATTACCATATAATAGTCTCGTCYGTAGGAATGAAAGAAAATAAATATTGAAATAACATTACGGAATAATAAATATATTATATATGTGTATAACATAAAAGTTAATTAGTAACTTTCAAGTCGTTTCATACATGATGAGAATGCGAACAATTTAATCATATTATACTCATTTTTAATYTAGACTAAATAATAGATATTTAGGTAGATACTAGATAGTGCAGTAAATTAAATCATACCTATCATGTACTAATTTGAATTTTATATTTCCACTAAATGCTTTAATATTTAAGTAATAAGTACATGATATTATTATATCATCTCATCATCACGGAACATGTTATAATATGAATGTTGCAAACATTATAAAACATAATAAATAATTTAACAATTTAATATTACAGGWATATATACCTACTCCGCATTGCACGTGCATGCGATTGAAATGTAAACGTAGATATATAGCCGAAAAATGGTATACTTTATAGACACGCGGCCGTCCTGCATGGTGTAAGTTTTATTTCGCAGAAAAGATTGAGGAGTGGGGCTGCGTGACCACACCTGGTATACTACACTACACCTATGTTCAGCGGAGAAAYGCGGYCGTCTTATGACCGCGTTCTCGTCGAAAACCAATCAAAAAGTATATTGCGAAAGGGAAAGACGATCGATTTCGAGAAAACGCGTGTATATAGTTTGTAATGGCGGTAACGGCGGAAGGTGGTGAGCGAGTGAACGAGCAAAGGACAGACGGAGAGAGAACGCAATGGTGACAGAGAAGGAGACCGATGAGGCGAGGAATAGGGCTTTTGGCCGGCCCGCGGCGGCGTGCCCGCAGTAGTAGTATTACGTTAGAGATATATAATTGAATCTTTTTGCCGCGCTCGGCTTTCTAAACTATATACACCCCCCACCCCCGCACACTCAACGTCCCGATACAGTAATCCCGAGGAGCTGTTATAAAACGTCAAACCCTCTTTCGCTACTGAATCACATTTATTTATAACCGTTCAAGAGTATTAGAGACATGAAATTGAAAAGGAGAAAAGAAAAAAAAAGAGAAACAGATTCCTTTCGTACACTGCAGCAGCCTATATATATGCTTCAAACGAACGCGCGGCAAATGCCTATATATATATATATATATATA